CGGCCGCGAGGTGCAGCCTGCGCCCGGGGCTCCCCGCCCGCCGTCGGGCACGCGGCGCCCCGCACTGCGCTGCAGCACCCCCAGTCACTGCAGCGGCCTCACGCGGAAACGACGGCCTCTTTGAAGGCGAAAACACTTGGCAAGAGCTGGCCGGGGCGAGCACACTGAGGCGTTAGACGGGACGAGGCCCTAGGCTTTGCTCAGCCCCACCCCGGCCTGTTAGCAAGTCTCTTTGCAGGGCAGGATCCTACCCTCGAAGGGGGCAGCGGAGACCGTGCCAATCCCCAGGGGCCACCGGCCTAGTCACTCCTGCCAGGGACATGTTAGGGATCCCCCCCCCCTTTGTCATTTGGGCCCGTTCTGAATCCGCCATAAATAAAACCCAATCCAATCCCGAGATGAGAAATCCTCCTCCCAGCCCCTCTCATCTCCACGCTAAAACATTGCTCCGAGCTCCGTGGATAATTTATACCTGTCATCAGTGACACTTGTTACTCATTAATTGTGCATTTGTCCTGTTTATTGACTTGCTTGCAATCTAATCCCCCGAAGTTTTCTAGGAGGAAATATATGGCCGGTAGCCCTGCAGCCCCCGTCGCGCGATCAACCTGCTTTCCCAGTGTTTTATATCTTTTCCTTGCTGTGGCGCTCGGATGAGACAGGACACGTTGCAAAGCCGCAGCAGTGCAGAGCCTCGCACCCCAGGAGCAGGTTGCGCGGAGACGTGGGCGAGCCTCTCGCTTCCTTGCGGGGCACTGAAGAAGTAAACCCCAGCCAAGGGAAGCCCCTCGCGGGGAGGAAATCTCCCTTGGCCCACAAGTCCCTGCCCCCGGGCTGTCCCTGGTTGCACGCTGCCCTGGCAGGCTCCGTTCAGTCCCAGCAGCCTGGCACCGCACAGCCACCCTCATTGCTGCTATCCAGGTTTGCGCCGGGCCATCTCCGTCCTGCAGCTCACGCGAGGGCCGGGCCCGCACTCACCGAGCAAAAGCCAAGTTCTGGGGCCGTGGCAATTTTCCAAAAGTTTGTCTCCATTAAAAAAAAAAAACAACCCACTTCCACTGCAAAAAACGTTGGTGGCTGGGGACCTACGTAGAGCGCGGGTAACCCTCAACACAAGTCAAACGTGGTTTCATCTTGCAGCGAAATGGAGCCCGGCCGTGTCTGCATCACCTTGCCGGCTCCCGGGCAGGGCAGGGGAGTCAGCCCCAGTTCTTCCAGTGCGTGTCTGGCCTCCTCCTCTCACCCTCGTCCGGGTGCCAAGCCCTGCGCTGGCGCCTTCCTGAGTCTGCAGAAAGGCTGAAGCCAGAGCTCCGGGGCCTGAATCTTGGCGTTGACTGTTTAACATTGAGCTCACAACCATGCTGCCCCTGCTTTACTGCTGCTCACTTCTGTAAAAGCACCTAATTACTACCTCCATCCTTTTTGGCTGGCTAGCTTTAGGAGGTGGAAGGAAATTACAGGATTATATGGTCCACATT